AGTCAGTACTGGTGTGCATGATGTTGAGGCACATGCACTAGTTTTCTGAATGTAATTATTTACATTAAATAGCTTGTCTATAAATCACAGATATGAGATTTCTTCATATGGCTGGCAAATTCTAAAAAATATGTGCCAATACTCAGGTTTAATCACAGACCAGCTTACATTTTTCAGAAGTCTTTCTAATGTCATTTTATCTCTGAATATGTCCACAGATACGAAAAGAAATTGGAGCTGGTGGAAACCTAAGAGGGCAGGAGACAGAAACAAATCTGACCATAAGGAGATAAATCTGCTAGAGCTATATTTTCCAAAGAATTCCTCAAGCCCACTACAGTTTTTGATGAAATTGAATCATAAATTTAAATAGAAAAAAAAATAATTGCTATTATTTATTGTGCTGGCAAAAAACTGTAGATTTGTATAATAGGAGAAAAGGGGACAATGAATAGAGTCCGTAAGGAAAGCTAAAACCTAGAGGCAGAGTTTTAATTTAATTTTTGGCATTCATTGATTTTCCTCCCATGTCTCTAAATGGTTCCCTCTGAAACATCCACTGTATATTAAAAAATCTTAATACTCACTGATTTACAGTGCTTGAGTTCTGTGAATATTCTTGAATTCTGTGTAATATTCTTTCATTTCTTCTGCCTCTAGGGGGAAGTGTGCTTTCAACAATTTTATCCTCAGAGGTGTTTTCTTTGTCGGCTCAGCTTCACAGGGGTGTTCTTCATTCAATGTGACTTCAGGGCTGGCTTACCAAGAGAAGACATTCTCTTTGAAAATCTGGAAGGGCTCATATTTTAGAGGTTGCTGTGAGGAATCTGAAGGAGAAGGTCATACAAACTATTAAAATTGGTGGAGAAAACTTTCTTCTGATATTGCTAATGCATTTCAAAGACTCTCATGTTGAGATTCCCTACATAATGCTGTCTTTCCAGGTGGTGGGGGAGTAACATATGGACACTGGTTTGATTTCACAGGCCTGGAAAATAAACAGTCGAGTACTTTATAGAAAACTTGCCACCTTATTTTAGTAACTTAAAAACATATGGTTTGTGGTTATCAATGAAAACATTTCTAAATCCTATAAAAATCTATTAGTTTCTGTAATGTCACATTTAGGGCTAACATTGCCTTTCCTTTGGTTAATTTTCTTTGATTTTGCAGCATTTCCCTGTAATTTTCTTCTGCTTTCATTCAACAATTGCAGTCAGAAAGATTTCACTCAGTGAATAGGTGAGCAATCTTCTGAATGCTAGAAGAAAGTGTTCACCACCCCCATTTCAGTGCTTCACAGAATTGAAAGGAATATTTTTAAAAACCTGAGTCCAAGGGATGAGTTACTTCTGTTTGTTTTCTTTTTCCTTCATTCTTGGTTTGATTCATCTTGATGATTAAAATGCTGCAAAAATTCTATTGTAATCTTTTTGTAATTTTCTTAGTGTACATCCTCAAAGCCTAGCTACATGTAAAATAAAGTTTTGATGTAAAGGTTGTTATCAACTAATGAGAATTAGCTTTGTTTCCCACCTTCTTTTCATGGTGGTGCATGCTTCATAATCCAATCCAATTAAAAAATATTCTCAGGGAGTGAAGAGGTATGTAAGTATGCTGTTTGTATTCTTTGGCTTCAGTTCTTCATCTAGAGAGTGAGGGTGTCTGGCTAGGTGACTTCTCATATCTTTTCTAGCAGTAAGATTGGAGAACTCTGTGATATGCATGATTTTCATATGAACTTTCAGCTGCTTGGGAAAAATCTGATTTGATGGAAAGTGAACAAACTTGCAACATTAAAATCCATGTAATTATATTACTTGGTGGGTAGGATTTTGGTGGGTCTTTTTATAGTCTTGTGCCTATTTTCATCTGAAAAACTTTCTTTAAAAATCTTTATTTCTATAAAGTAAATAAATCATGAGGATGCAATGTATAGCATGGTGACTATAGGTGGTAATTCTGGTTGCATGTTTGCAAGTTGCTAAGAGAGTAGAACTCATCATTAGAGGTTTTTTTTTGGTAACTATGATGAGGGATGCTAACTACACTTATTGTGGTGATCATTTCACAATGTATATAAATGAATCATTATTGTGTGCTCCTGAAACTAATATAATGTTACATGTCAATTAAACCTCAATAAAAAATACTAATTTCTTTTCATTGGAAAATTTTAAGGGGTGCTTTGAGCAATAACAAGAGCAGTAACAAACACAGTGGTTCTTCTGATTTTGCCTTATAGTCTGGGGGCTCTTCCCCTCCGCAATTTGGTTTGCTGGTGAGCTTGAGCGGCAAGCTGGAAACTGAGAGCTCAGAGGCCACTGAGCTGTAATACCTAAATGGAAGCGCACTGCCCTGCCGGTGACCCTCCCCGCGGCTGGCAGCCTGGAAGGGGAGAGGCGTCCACACACCGCACCACTGAAACCCCAGACTTGGCCGAATGAGCCCAGGCTGCAGTGTGCAGAATCACATCGCCGTTGGCTGGTGTTCCCCAGACACTGCATAGCGACCAGTAATAGGAAACCCTGGTTCCACCAGTCTCCTGGCAACCAGTTTCGAAATCCCTTAAGACCCTTGGAATTCGAGATTTAGCCGTTGTTCTCTTTTTCTTCTTCTTCCCTCCCCTCCCCTCCT